GGTTCAAGGGTCAAATTCTGAACTGGACTTATGGTTCCGTTCGGTAGGTTCGAGTTCGAACCAAAGTTCAGAACCGAACTTTCGCATCACTACTTCAGACATCTTAAGAAGGACAATATTGAATATTTCTAGTCGTTGATATGTGCTCCGAGTCTGTTGGTAAACGGGATAAAACCGACGGTTAAAATTCTCCAAAGACCAGAACCCCGAGCTGTGTGATAGACTGCAAGAGGAGGGTCCTTGCAGCTCCAGCTATTTAGTTATCTCTACCAAATATTTGAGGTTCGGGGGCTAAACGGAAACATAGAAAACGGAAGTCAAATGATATATATTTAGACTACAAGCGTTCTAACGAGACGTGCTAGCATGCAAAATTGCTGGAGGTGACCATTTTGAACAAGAATGCTCGGGTATGTCAGACGACATGCCTTTGTATGATATATTTACCTTGGAAGAAGAGAGAGAAATCGGGCATTTAAGAACACGATGCCGCGGTTGAAAACTTCGCAGAGGTTATAAATACAAAACGCAAAAGTTTGGACAATGTTCAATTATATCTAGCAATATTATCGCCATAGGAAATAGGTCCAAGTCTTAATGCTTAGTAAAAAATGAAAGTCGCTTAAAAGTCGGCAAAAGTAAGGTTTGACTAAAATGCAATTGTATTACTAAAGCCTGACTTTACTACAAGTCATGGAAAAGTCAGCCAATGTCGTGTTTAATAGAACTTAAACAGTTAGTATAAGAACATAACAAACAATTGCTGACATTGGCTGACTTTTCCATGACTTGTAAAGTCAGGCTTTAGTAATATAATTGCATTTTAGTCAAAATTTAGTCAAACCTTACTTTTGCCTACTTTGGGCGACCTTTGAGCGACTTCCATTTTTACTGAGCTTAACGGGTTGTAGCTTTTACAAGCCCTTTGTTCACTTTTCGCACTTTTATAAGTTCTAAAATGAAGGACGACCGTAGCAATAATATTTTCAAACGGTAAACAAACGGCTGGAGTGTTGCCCTCTGGAGTCCGATCGCTCATTTACCTTTCGGGCTTTAGCTTTCAATGTTCAAAGGACATCTTTGAAACTGTAGACCAACAAAAACCACATCATAATTTTAATAGCCCACCGGGGGGGTCGAAACCCCAGCCTTCAGATTGTCCCGCTGGTTCATGGATAAGAGTCTGACGCTCTATCCGATTGAGCTAGGCGGGCGGTATCTGTCATTAACAGCTCTTACTCCCAATTGGGATGTCAAACGCAGAGGTTAAAGAGACCCGCCCTCCGAACACAAAAGTGGACGCATTACAACATTAGTAAATGTAAACTTGTGTAGGTGATGCTATTGGGGCGGCTTACTGATATTAAATGAGAGTGCAACCATTAGACTTCAAATCACGAATGGCTAGAGTGTACTTTCTTTTTGCTGCGCATCGGCATTTCTAGCTGTAAGGGCTCCTGATTATTGCAAAACTCTACAGTTTTCAGCGCCTGTGTGCTCCCATAGAACATATATCAATTTAGTTGGTAGGTATTGTCACCTTGTGGTTAGATGCCTTGTTAACGTCGAGCAAGGTCATCATACTGGTGATTTAAGGGGCTGTTGAATGTTAAGTCTAAGTAAAAAGTTGCTGGAATTCAGATTTGGATAGTCGGAACAGTGTTGTCCTTCTCGAAGGTCAGAAATTCCAAAATATAGCCCATACGAGGCCATAATATAGCCCACCGGGGGGTCGAACCCCTAGCCTTCAGGCCACCGCATTGGTTGAATAAGAGTCTGATACTCTATCCGATTGAGCTAGGCAAGCGATGTTCAAACGTAGTAAATTGACACTATCCGACTGTTGGAAAGCGAAATACCGTAGAATGGACAAGAAATTGGAGGGTAGAGGCTGGAAGTGGTAGTCAGCAGTTAGCTACGTACCGGTAGTAGATGCTCAGATCTAATAAATAAACCTAGAGATTCTACTACGTCGTATGCGTCAAAGTTCGCATAATGGTATGATATAAATCAGAGAGTTGGAATCTAGTATACGTTAAATACATCCGTCCTAACAATCTGCAACGAAATATCAGAAAGCTGACCCACGCAATAAGACAGTGAGCACTTACAACATAATATTGCGCATACAATCACAAGTAGTCATCACCCTCTCCATCATCCATGACAACATGCATCGCCCATCCGAGCTTATCATCGCCATCCGGCTCCTCCTCAGCCCACGCAATGTCCTCGTCGTCTGCGCTCGTACCTCCAGGTATGGGCTTTGCAACTGGCTCACTGCCAGTGTCGATGTCGACTTCTTCCTCTTCAGCCTTCATCTTACGTGCGAAGATGACAGCAGCGTCTTCCTGTGAGGTCGAGAAGGCGTGTAGTTAGCGAATGCTTATGATAGAGGGACAAGACGCACAATGTCAAATTCATCCTCTTTCTCCTCATACTCTACGTTCTCATCCACTTCTTCAAAGCCACCAGCAAAGGCACCCCATCGTTCCGGACTTGGACAGTGCCAAATGAGGATATTTCCATGTATCGTCGTGGATGCGATACATGACTTCGTATGATGCCACTGTGAGAAGCGTTCAGTCGAGATGACCTACCATGAAACCCGTAAGGAAGTTAGAAAGTCGAACACATACGTGTAGATGGCTAAGAGGTTCTCGACCTCCGTCAAGTGCGCTTGCAAGTTGACCGTCGTTTGATATATCCCAGATATAGATTTTGTGCCCTGCTGGATCGGCCGCACCTGCGGGTAGTTTCAATATCAGCATACATGATTTGGTGATGACCATTGTGAACAGCAAAGAACCACGCACCACCCGCGAGCCATTCTCCATCGGGGCTATACGACATTGCATGCCACGCAGTCTTGCTAATGGGATCGCTGAACCTATGTGTTGGCTCCAGTTCTTGTTCGATGTATCCTGGCTCCTGGTTTTCATGCTGCTGCGGTTCGTCGATGGACCCCGGTTCTTGCTCGTCAATGGCTCCAGGTTCCTGCTCGTCGATCGCTCCAGGCTCAGGCTCTTCGCCGTCCACGGCCATCTTCATGTTCACACCAGCATTGATTGGGGGTATACTTGAGGGATGCGGGTATGTAGGAACGACGAATTGCCGAAGGGTGCGGTCCGACGAGTTGGTTACCAGGCGCCTGTTGAGGTGGACCAGTTCGCATTTATCAGCGAGCACGTTCGCAGCGGGATATGTGAAGAGGAAAGGAAGACAGGTTCGTGTATTAGAATGGTCGACCTGCGGCGGGAGGAGCACATGGGTCTTCACCGTCCGGATTTACTAAATTCAAGCCCTTTCATCGTTCCTGCGCCTGAGATTTTGTGGCGCGCTATCATCTATAATGAAGTCAGTCACTGAAGGATCGAGTTTAGCACCATGGTACTGACGGTTTTCGTTCGTGTATTGAAGACAAGTAGTGAGCCGGCTGTTGTACCCACAAATATGTGTTTGCCAGAAGGGTCAAACCGAGCACAAGTCATTCCTGGCCTGTGATGCAACTGTTGAGTGCCTTTCTTTAAGATGAGGAGATATTAACGCACCGTGACGGTTCTTCCTCTTCACTCTCTTCCAATACTTCATACAACTCCGTGCGTGATCGGTGTTCTTTACGTAGATCGACGACATACGCATCTCCTGTTGTTAGGAGAGCCAGGATCACCTGGCTATAGAAGTGCCTGAGACCAAGTCCAACATAGATTGACGAGTAGGGCATACCTATTACGTGGGTGGAAAGAGGCCGAGGCAACAGGGGCGTCGAACCTTATGGTATTGTGCCGTTGTAGTGGGTCACTCTTCGAGGCGAGATCCCAGATGACGACGTTCCAATCTTTTGCGGAAGTCAAAATAAAACGAGAGTTTCTTGACCAGCTGAGAAGTAGAAATCAGCTGCTGTGCAATAGATGCACAGAGTTCCAAGAATAACACGCACTCCAGACTTGTAAGTGCCTTCACATGTCCGTCCAACCACCGTATTGGTGCTCTTGTCTCCAAGTCCCAGATTTCAGCACTGCCATTAGCTCGTCCCGCAGCAATGTACCTTCCAGAGGGGTCAAACTTTGCGAAGAGTGCAGTTGCAAATAGAGAGGTCTGCACAGCAGTCGGGTGCGAGATAGAGAATGGGTCTAACGACAGATAGTGAGAGCATGTCGTAACGAGCATTCAGCAAAGAGCTTCTTACTGATGAGAGATTCGTTCATGTTCGTTTATTAGAGGTATCCCAATAGTGAGCCAAATCCAGAAGTGAAGTACGGTTAGATATCGCTGCTACCGCCGTGGAAGATGCAGTTAGGTCACCGAGTTGGACGCGTTCGACTCTCGCGAGTACGAACCAAAGAGTTTGCATATATTTGTTTCTAAGGTCAACATGTTGTTTTCTCATATTTTTCTAGAACCTCTGTCCTACCATCATGACTGAGCCCCAGCTTTCAGCGAAATTTGCTGTTATAGGTCAGGCTCTAAAAATGCCAGCACTTCATGTCTCAAGGACATAGTGGCATAGTGGAACGCATTTTTATGAGCCTATTGCGAGGGACACGCTTTGTAACATACAAGAGAGTTCTCCGTTCGAATCAAGGCTGGGTCAATTTAAATGCCGCAATGCTGAAATGCCAGTATCGTCTTTGAATTTTCTTTCTTGTCATAGCACACTGGTTGTAACTAATTGATAATATTACGGACTTCTGTAGCTGTAGCAATCTTTCAGAAATGTTTAGAGGTCCGTCTTTCCAGTAATTATTATCCACAAGACGTTGCTACTATAATGTTACAGCTTTCTGCTTGTAAGACTCAGTAATGAAGTGGACCGCGCGTCTGTAGCCTGTTACGAAGTGGTGCTTCGCCATATGCTATAGACGCTCTGTTCGAATCAAGGCTGAGTCGCTACATCTAAATGCGGGTATATTGACATTCACTATACCCGCATTTAGAATTTATTTGTATCATGGCTTTATGCTTTCTGCCTTCATATTTATATTGTTGCAATGGAACACCATCCCTGCCACGTTATTTATTTATTAGTTAGTACATAACTGACACCAGATTTAACTTAGCAATTACGCTTAAATCGCACTAGACTTCTCCTACGCCTCGTGAGTCGTAATATAGTGTCAAATTAAATATCTTGCACTTCTAGCCCTACCATCAGTGTGTCCTTCCTGTCACTAGTACCTCAGCTGATTACTTCTCTACAGCACCTACCATCCCATATACGTCCACAGGACCGGTACTCCGAACGATCTCAACGCCAAGCTACCGCGTGATTCGCCAATCGTGTTTCCCTGTAGCGACGCGTCCTAAATTAACGCGCCGGTGCGTAGCAACGCTCGTTCAGGTGACAAGTCCATCTTCACAAGAATTAATGCCGCATGAAAGGTGCATGGACGATGAGCCGTGATTTATGACGTTGCACTATGTGGGAGTAGCATGTAATCACACCTGCCACTCAGAACCGGACCGCCTGGATGGAATTCAATTGCAATTTGACCAGCTGCTGTCTCCTCATGGATCGTCTTCACCGCAAGATGCAAGAGGAGAATTTTCAGAAGCAGTCGTGAATTAGAAGTGTCGCAACAGGAGCGTATTTCGAAACCTTGGGGATCTTGGCTTCATGATATGGCAAGTTCACGATGTGGAACATACATCATCTACGAACGATACCAAGAAGAACTGTAATCCATAAGGAGTGCAAGAATTACCTAGCAATTGAAAAAGTGATGACGTGATAAGAGCAAATAAGTAAAATTCAAAGTTGGATTGCGGTCGCGCCAGTGAGTAATAGAATTGAAGTAAGTAACTAATAAGTAAGAATTGGAAGTCCAAAATACGGAGAGGAGGTGATAAGAAATATACGATGTACAACACTATAGATGTTCTATGGGTGGGATTGGTAGTGTTACACGGGATGAGCTGAGATTCTAGTTATTGCGTAAGGAAGGGTGGATGGGACGATGTCTTGACTGCGTAAGGAAATATTATGAATAAACGCTGGACGACGACAACAGGGGAAGGGACACCGTCAAATCGCGGAGGAGAAAGCCAAAGCCCAGGGGGGCCCAGGGATGAGGAGAAGCGCTCTCAAAGCGGAAGGTGTACCGCTATCCTATCCCATGATGCGGGGTGCTCGCTTCTGAACGCGGGGTGAAAAATCACGAGCGCTTTCAGCATTTAATCTAAATATAACCCCTGCACTGCGCAGCTGTTCCTCCTGTGCTATGAAATCGTTGCGGAACGACTTCCAACAACCGGTACAACCGGGACTAAACATAGACCGGGATGGAGTAGGGGTATTATAAGCTGCATGACTTGGGCTGTGACGTCCATCCAACACAACAGATAGACAGACAGATCTTGCTTGATGTACTGGTGGGATCTTCTCTTCTATAAAGGTCCCGGGGCCGTCGCGGCGTGCAGGAATTTATAGAACCGCAGATTGAATTGGGCGACTGAATGGAAGTGTCGATAATTGAATACCGGTCTGCGAAAAAGGATGAAGAGCGCGGGGGATGGGAAACTCGGCGGGGCACGCGGAGGTGTTGTCATACGGCGTCTTTGTGCGATAGTGTGGAGTAGAGATATGATATGATAGTTCTGCTATGTGGTCATAGCAGAACGGAGCAGAGGGGCGGCCAAGAAAAGAAGACGGAGTCAAGGAATGATGGATGAATAGGACGGGACGAATGTCAGATCCCATCTATCCATACATCTAAATACACTCTGGATGAGCCCGCGGAAGAGGGGGGGTGATCGACAGCACGGAATGATGCGGTATCGCAACAGCAGCAGTCAGAGTGACGGCAA